AGATTCAAGATAATCCTTTTACATAATTCTTTAATTCTTATCATGTGCTCAGAGTTTAAGAAGACAAGTAATGGCTAATACAGTAAAAGGATTATATAACAGAACAGCCCACTGTCTATTCTCCGAGGCAACCCCATTTCCTCTCTTCATTATTTCTTTTATTTACATTCATATTTTAAACAAAATATGGGTATGTGGATACTGTCTCTGTGCCCGAGGATGCTGTTTCCTTTCTTGTACAACTACACCCCTACTCTCCCCCACCCTTTCACTTTGTTTTCTTTGAATATCTGGCAGAAACAGCTCCAATTCTCCAAAAGCACTCTCAGTTTCCCCTCCGTTCAATTTCTCAGTTGGTTAAAGCTTTTCAGTGTTTGTTAGTTCTTGTGTTTTTCCTGGAGACATCCGTACTGGCCCTCTGCCTTTCTGCTGCCATATGGGCTGCTTGCCATCCAGATGTAGGGCACAGCAGTCACTAGAATAGCCTGTTGTGCAGAACAGTCATGTTTAGGCCGCTGTTGGTTGTTATAGTCTGGCTATTCTAAAATATCACAGTGACACGCAGCGGGCAGGTCATTTTCATTTCTTACGGAGGGGGAACAGGAAGAGATCTGGAGGAAGGGGACTTGTCTGTGGCTCTTGGGATGGGGGAGGGAAACAGTTTCCCATTTCTTCAGGGTCTCATCAAGGGTGCCGACTACCTGTGCACTGGGCGCACTGCATGCGGTACTCTGCGGACATTCAATTATCTATTAGCTGCCACGTTTCTGATCTTGTTCTTAAAATTGCACTGATATTGATTTGTTTTTGTTAATAGAATGTGCTTTCAGTTTTATTTAAGAAAGAAAGAAAAAGGAAATGAGTTTGGTGACCAGCGAGTCTCTGCCACAGTTACTGGTCATTAAAAGCACCTCACGTTTGAAGAACAATGAGATAGTGGTGACAGGCAGAAGCCTTCACTATGCCTCACCTTTTTTTCCTTTTTTCTTTCCTGAAAGCCGGGACTCGCCGATAAATGATATCGACTGAAATGGTATAATTTGGACAGAGGAGCTATAGTGTCAGGCATGCCAATGTCAGTGAAGGTGCGTGATTTGATGCAATGCACTCTATACCGAATGTTGGTGTAATTAATGCACAATGGAAATAAACTCTCCCCTGACTACCTTCATGCTTTGCACAGGTATTTCAGGTTCTCTCACTTTTGGGTAAACGGTAGACTGCCTTGCTGTTCTCAACCTTCCTAATGCCGCGACCCTTTAACACAGTTCCTCATGTTGTGGTGACCCCCAACCATAAAATTATTTTCCCTGCTACTTCATAACTGTAATGTTGCTACTGTTATGAATCGTAATGTAAATATCTGATATGCAGATGTATTTTCATTGTTTGCGACCCACAGGTTGAGAACCCCTGGAGTAGAAGCTTTGCTGTGGTCCTGTCCTAATGTCTGCTGACGGGACATTTTTGTTGCGATGAAGCCTCAGTCAACCTAGGTCCCTGGTTGACCAGGAATATGAGCCGAGTTCCCTGCCAACACCCATGGAGGTGTTTATTTTATTTTTTAGTTCTTACTGATGGTATACTTCTGAGAGAGAAGCATCGATTGGTTGCCTCCCATACACGCCCCGACCTAGATATGTGCCTGACCAGGAATGGAACCCGTGGCCCTTCGGTGCCCTAGATGGTGCTCTAACAAATTGAGCCACCCCAGCCAGGGCTTGGGGCTGTTTATTATTGCAGCAAAACTGACCCTATCTTGAGGGGTAGATAGCAAGTGCTCATGCTACGCCCCAGCGTCTTTACCGCTGTAGAGTTTAAGATTCCAGACTCACATGAGATTAATAATAAGAGGCAAACCTCTTTTCCATTGTTTCCAGTACTGCTGAGCATTTGATCTGTTAGTTGCTACCTATATAGGCTTCTCCCCAGGTAAAGATACTTCTGTATTTATACCAAGATCTTCACCTCAAATAATTTTTTCCACTGCGGCTCATTCTTGAAATGAAGGACTATTTTAACTTCTGCTGTCTCTGCAAGTAGGGAGCGAGAAATCTGGAGGGAATGTGATTTCTGTTGCCACTGCGCGCACAACTGGGCTGCAGGTGTGGGCCGGCGGAGCGAGGATGCAGACGCTTTCGCCATCTGGGAAACATAGAGCAAGACATCACTCTCTTTGCGTGGTCGGGTGAAGAGTAATTACTGTCTGCACTCTGCCCATTAGAGAGAAGAGAGAGATTTACTTATGTAGAGGCTGTGCCTATCGCGGAGGACATGTGTTTCTGACATCTAGGGCCCCGTGTGTGACGCTGGCTGTATTTGGCATAATTCTGGGGGAAATAGCAGTATCATTGGGCGACAGTTGGGCTCTATTACGGGTTCATATGCCATAGGTTGGCTGTCTGGGAACCTAACAATTGTTTATGTGTTGTTGTTTTTTAATACTGGAAACCGTGTCCTGAATTCCAGACTGCCAATCCATACAGGGACTTGAAGAATGCACTCATTTTCTACGAATGCAGTTGTAGGGTAGTTCCTCTTCATTTGAAGTTTTGGTTTCTGTGGTCTGTTACCTGTGCTTAACCACAGCCTGAAAATATTATATTAGAAAATTCCAGAAAAAAACACAATTCACGACTTTACAGTTTTATGGCATTCTGAGTGGCATGATGAAATATTGCGGCCATCCCGCTCTGTCCACCCGAGACTGAGTCATGCCTTTGTCCAGTGTCTCCACGCTGCAGACGTTTCAGTCATCGGAGAGAGACCACATTCACATAACTCTTATTACAGTGTATTGTTATAATCGTTCTGTTTTATTAGTTATTGTCGCTAACCTCTTACTGTGCCTAAATGGTTATGTATGTATGTATAGGAAAATGCATACTATGTACAGGACTTGGTACTATTCATGGTTTCAGCATCCCTGGGGGTCTTGGAACATACCCCATCCCCGCCCGCCCTGGATAAAGGGGAGGGAGGAGAAGGCTGGACCTACTGCCAATTCTTGGTTCAGCTGTGCTACTTCAGCGCCCAGTATGTACAGAGGCCACAGATGATCACAGAACTGCCTCTTCCCCCCTCCCTGCAACCACCACAGTTTGAAAACAAGCCAGTCCCTTAATCCTGAAATCCTAATGCAGGGAAAATTACATTCTTAGAACCCAGTTCCTGGAGCAGTGTTTAGTGTTTCTGAAGACCGTCCTGCTGCACCAGGTGGGCCCCTGCCTAGGACACACCTTTGGCTCTCTCTCTCTCTTTCTCTCTCCCTCTCTCGGGCATTTTCAGGGGTGTGCACCTACAGCTGCTGCTCCTGCCTCTCGCTCTACAATTACTTAGGTCTAAGAAACCTGCTTCCTGGGGAAGATTTATCCTTAATATTTAATTATCCAATCAAACCCCAATTGGAAACCATAGAGGGAGAGAGTGTGCATGTGTGTGGTGTGTGAGGGGGGTTGACTCTTGAGACTGGAAGAACCACATGGGTTCCAGCCTACCCCACCCATCATTTCCTCCTTGTCTTCTAATGCGTGATGGAATTGGGGGTATCCCATGCAGCATAGCCCACCGGACCTATTATTAACAGTTTAGAGCTGGAAATACTCTAGTTTTCTACAGGACACACAGAAGCCTTCTGCGTGGCCACTTTAAAGCAGTAAATATTATGTTGCTCACCACTGAGCAAAGGGCCCGAGTCCACTCTGTTCCCTGAGGCTGCAGCTGTGCTCACTGGCGCCTGCTGCCCTTCTCTGTGGCCTTGTTGGTGCCTGGGTGCAACTGCCAGGGCCATTCAAGGTCTAGCCGTGTGGCCTGCACCTGGAGGCTGCCTGCTCAAAGCCGGTCCACTGCCACGGCCCAAATGGCTGTGTTTCAGGCGTGCAGCCCAGGCCTGGTTTCCTTGAAGTTATCTGGGCAGTCCTCCTGTGGAAACACTTAACCTGTGGACAAAGCGGTGTTCCACTCAGGTTAAAAGAATGAATGGTTTTAGGCCTAATGTCTCTTGCCCAGTCTGTGCTATTTTAACACCAACATCCCAGCTGGAAAAGTGAGCGGGATTGCGGGATTGAGGCTGCAAACCACCAATGTGAGGAATACATTTGGCTCGTACCCTGAACCGAAGTGCCATCCACCTTACCCCAGTTACCCCACGTGTGGTTTGCTCCCATAAACTTGACTCCTTGTTTATGTCTCATGGCTCGTTGCCTAGGTAACATATTTACAGCTTGGAGAGGGCTCAATCAATAATATCCCCTTTTCAAGACTGCTATTCCGAGTGGCTGATGGTTAAAGTAGAGATGATCTCCTGCAGTGGTAGGTGAATGGCTATTGCCCGAAGCCCTGTGTGCTTCTTCGGGTTCATCAGCCACCGCAGCCTTTTCTGGGTGAGCCCTTGGGCCTCTCCAGCATCCAGGAACCGAAGGGGACATGCCTGGCTCCCCAGGGGCTGGCCTCCCGGCCCCTGCTCCAGGGCTGCGGCCAGGACACGGTCAGGATTGCTCATTCGCTCTTTTGAATATCATTCCTACCTTCTTCTCTCTCTGATTATGAACCATTTGAGAAATAAGAAAAAGAGTAAGGTGGGCAGGTTGTCATAGATGAAATTATAGATGAATTGTGATGACAGGACTTCATCTATAATGATAGGTGAATTTTAGATGAGAGCTAGTTTGAGGGACAGAGACTTACTGACCCACTTTGTCACTGTAGTGCAGAACAGGGCACCATCAGGCCACCACCCCTCCCCGCTTCCCCTGTGGGGACAGGGCCTGCTCCTGGGGGGCAGCGGGTAGCCTGTGCCCTCTGTGGGCAGGGCTGGGACTAGGGTAGGAGAGTGAGGCACTCGCCTCAAGATATGCAAGCATTTTGAAAAGGGGTGATACTTTAGCTAATGATACCTGAATTATCCGCATCCGTAATCGTAGGTCCTAAACGTAAAAAAAACAAAGTGACTGAAATGAGTCAAGTGGTGACTTGTTCATTTGTCTAACATTTCCGTGAGTTAAATATTTTATTTCTTCCAGGGAACAGCTTCAGAACATCTCAGACTAAGAAACTCTCAACTGTGCTGAGAAGAACATTGAAGATGGACCATTTTCCCTTCCCTCTCACTGGAAAGGATTTAAAAAAGAACTGAAGTGGCAGAGCTTTTGAGTTCATCTTCAGGATGAATGAATTTCGTTCAGGAGACAAGCCAGAAGACGACCTGCAGCCCTTATTTGTCAGCGACAAAAATGGAAACACTTATGCATACCACCCCAAACCACCACCCGCAGAGCTG